TCTAAACTCAGTTTTGTTTGACTGCTGAATTATGTTAGCCACTCTTGGGTTAGGAAAGTGATCCTGAGCTAGATCTCCTTTCTTGATTATTTCCTTTAGATATCATGTAGGATAAAAGCATAACTGAGCTTGAGAAATCAAATTGAACTATTCTTGAGACTTTTAATCAGTCTACCAGATCTCAGGTGACCCATTGCATGGTGTGTGGTGCTGGGAGTAAGATGGAAAATGCACTGTCTTATAGCTATTAGGGTCTAAAGCAATCAAATCCTTTTGCAGAATGGCATATGTATTCTATAAATACTCCAGTCAGAGGCTTTATGTGACTGGATTGAAACTAAAAAGCTAGACTTTAAGTAAGTCATTGTCTTAACTGTACTACTTTAATTTTCAGGATGAGTCTGAATGTACTTCGGATGAGGAAATCTTTATCTCGCAAGATGAAATACAGTCATTTATGGCTAATAACCAGTCTTTCTACAGCAATAGAGAACAGTACCGACAGCATCTGAAGGAGAAATTTAATAAATACTGCCGCTTAAATGATCACAAGAGGCCCATTTGTAGTGGCTGGTTGACAACAGCTGGAGCAAATTAAATAAATAAAATAGCTCTGTCTTTCAATGAAACACTCAAGATGACTACTGCGCCTTCTCTTTCCAAAAAACCCTCTTAATTTAGTGACTTACGGCAAAATTTTCTCTTAAATCAATGTGATTCATCCTTGTTTTGGCAGACGGTGGAGGTACCCTCATTAGTTCTTTCTTCAGGCTTGTGTTTTTAGTTGCGTGGCTGCGCAGGCCTGCCATATGATTTAAGCCATCTCTTTTCATTAAATGTTTCTCTTCCTGTGAAACTTACTAAAGCAACCTAGTGGCAAAAAAGTAATGTTGTACTTATACTTCTGTACAGAAATGAAAATGAGCTGAATATATGGTTTTACAAAGTAGACATCCACTTGCGAAATGTTTGGATGTAATGTTAAAAGCGCAATGTGCAAAATTTAAAATAAAGAATATTTATTAATACACATAGTAAACTTGGTCTATATGTTTCTACTTAATGTGTGGCAGTGTTTTAGTCTTTTGCCACTTACGGACCTGGTATTTGAACAGTGTAGATTTAGAATGAAGAGCTTATGTAGAGGTAAGAAGAAGACAAATTCTGTCTTTAATCAGAGTTGATGACCTAGGAATGCAGTCTCCAGTCACTTATGTTGAAAGAATAAATTTGCTGCAGTATATTTAAATACTAGCTAGCATCTTAATTTCTCAAGAGACTTTAATTGCTATTCTTAGTAACACAACCCCTATTGCCTTCAAGTTGATTCCAACTCAGCAACCCTACAGGTTAGAGTATACTTGCACCATAGAGTTTCCAAGGCTGTAAATATCTTTTTTTTTACCAACAGATAGTTTATTAAAATAGTTGTTTTAGGCATCTGCAATGGTGACTTCAACCTCTACTCCAAGCTCAATGCTTGTGGAGGTGATCTACTTGACAATCTCAGAAGGGCTGTGCAAGTCAGTGATTCGCTTGTGGATTCTCATCTGGAACCAATCCCAGGTCTTGGAACCTTCCCCACAAGGAGTCTTCCTTGTGATTCTCAGAGTCTTGGTAGGCATCATAACCACTCCTTTGTTTACCTCTGATCAATTTGGCACACACTGCAGAAAAATCATGTGGACTCATGCAGCACAATTAATGAAGGCTCTAAGAAACCAACTAAAGCTTGTTCAGAAAAGCATAAAAAACTATCTTCTAAATTCTACGTCTAAGTCTCTCTTCACTGCCAGAGCAAAGCTGTAAATCTTGACAGAAGCATCATGGTTTCAACTGCTGACCTTTCTGTTAGCAACCGAGTACTTAATTACTGTGCCACCAAGGTTCCACCTGATAATACATAGCTCCTTAAATGCAGACGTTATGCTGATCTAAAAAATGAAAATAAAACTAGGCAAATTTTCAACCATAGGTTGCCTGGTAATTACTGAATTTAAAATGGATCACGTGACTGCTTTTGAGACCACATGTTCAGGCTTTCCTGATTTCCAATGATAAATTCACTGTGGTGTTCCAGTTTACTGCTGTTACAAACTATGAATATTGAAGGCTATTCCCCAAGGAGTAATATTTTCTGCATTTGAAAAAAAATTGTTAGGGGAGCTCTGGTGGCCTAGTGGCAAGGAGCTGCAACTACAATCCCAGAGGCGCACGGTTGAAATCCACCAGATTCTCTGCCAGGGAAGGAGGGACAATCTCCTCCTGTACCAGTCAGATCTGATTTGATGGTACACTCACACACACAAAAAATTGTTAATGTCACTATCATTGCATGCTAGGGAGGGGTTCCAATGGTTATTCAGAGATGCTTTTTGGATATACAAAAAGTGTAAGAAGTTTACATTACCTTGATGAAACATCCTAAGTCAAATGACATAGTGACCTCCACTCTGCAATGTCCAACCCAAGAAGAGACAAAAGGACTATTCTTGATCACACACAGCAAAACACACCCTTTCTACATTGACAGTTTAGTGACAATGATTACATTTTAGTCGTGCAACATTCTACCTTTTTTGATTTTGTTTCTTAGGTGGTTCATGAGGTTTTGAAGGGAATGTAGGAATACATTCCAGGTACAAGAGTGCACTTGCCTATGGTCCAAGCCATGCTGTGCCACTTGAAGTGTATGTTTTTTAAATGTTTTCTTTTATGCTGATTTATAAAGTTAAATATTGTTTTTCATACTGGATCTTTCCCATTTTCCTCACTGCCTCCCCCCCCCCCAAAAAAAAAGATGATAGTATCTATTCCCTAGGATTGTGTGTGGGAGAATGCCAAGTACAGAGATTATCCCCTGGGTTGCCAAAAGAGCATGTCAGTCTTAGAGAAAATATAGCCAGAGTGCTCCTTGGAGTCAAGGGTGGTAAAATTTCACCTCACATACTGTGGGCATATTGTTAGGGTACCCTGTCAATGCTTGGGAAAGGATACCGTGCTGGGGAGGAGGTCAGAGAAAAAGGAATTGTCAACAAGATGGACTGATACTGTTGACTGTAAGGAAGGTTTCAAGCATATCAGATCGCGAGGATGATGCAGGGTAGGGCAAGGTTCGGATCTGTTCAGATCTGCCTCTGAGTTGTAGGCAACTCCATGTCCTCTAATAACAGGATAGTGGTTGTGAAGATTATTTCTGTAAAGTACTTAAAACTGCCTGTTACAGGGGGCTCTGGTGGCCTAGTGGTAAGAAGCTGCACTGCAATCCCAGAGGCACATGGTTCAAATCCACCAGATCCTCTGCTGGAGGAGGAGGGGGCAATCTCCTCCAGTACCAGTCAGATCTGATTTGACGGTACACACACACACACATACATAAATTTAAAAAAAAACCAAAACTGCCTGTTAGAGTTATGTGCCAGCGAGTCCCCTGCAACTCAGAGCGACCTAAGCTTACAACAGCCCTAAGCCCTAAGCCTTGCCAACACGCCCATCCCCATTACCCCAGTGACTGAATCAGTCAGTACATCTCAACTCGGGTCTTCCTCTCCTGTGCTGTCCCTTCACCCAAGCACGATGTCTCCAAGAACTGATCCAGCTTTGCAACATGTCCAAAGTATGTCAGACAGAGCTTCAGAATCCTTGCCTTCAAGGAAACAGCCTGGCCTCACCCTCTCCAGGACAAACTTGTTCTCCTAGCAGTCCCATACTATCCAACAAATGTTAGCTCTTTAAATTGTTCAGATACACTGGTGATATACTTTGTCTAATGAAGTAGGGGTGGGGCAGGAAATGGCCTTGGTTGAGTTGGTAGCACCGTTTACAAACAGTGCCCAGTGAAGTGCAGCATGGGCCATTTCCATGTGGCTTAGTGGTTAGAAATTACACTGCCAATCCAGAAGCACACGAAGACGGGCAACCACCTATAAGGTTAACTGCCTCTGAAGCCCGCTGGAGGGTCAGTTATGAGTCAGCTCCGACTCATCAGCAAACAAGAGGAAGGGCTAAAAAATTCTTTCCAAGGTCACTGGAATTGAAGACACGCTGGTTGAGAAATGGCTCTGATAACACCTTTCAGAGTCACAGCAATCCAGTTAACTCCCATTCAAAACCACCCTGCAGGGCAGAGTAGAACTAAGGGTTTCCAAGACTGTAAATATTTAGGGGAAAAAACAGCCTCAACTTTTCTGGCCCAGGATGGTGTGTTCCAGTCATTATCCTTTTTGGTAGTAGCTCAGTGCACCATGAAGGTTCTATGAAGTCTTTACTCGACACCAATAGAAACCAATTTACAGCTGGGCCTCCGGCGGATTTTCGGAGGGAAGGGGGAAAATGGCCCATCTTTCTCCTTAAGAGCCGCTAATAGATTCTAACTGCCAGTGGGCGGGCCACCCGGTAGCAGAGCAACTCTGTACAGACGACGCCACCAGAGAGAAAAGTCACATCAAGTGCTCTTAACTTTTCATTCTAGTTTTAGGAGTCAGGAACTAGGAAGGGAAATTGGAAGAGGCAAGAGTATCATCCTACGAATTCAAGAAATGTCAACTGTTGCTTTAATTTTTGGTATGCATACATGGTGATTTTTCTCCAATGAGGAGACAGGAAAGTCCCTGCTGAATGAACTCGTTTTTCTACCCCAAGGAGAAGTTTGCAGTGACCCCAGAGGCCCTTTTCCCCCAACAGCTGACTCTACCAGGATGGTTTCCCGGCGTCTTGGGGGAGGGGAGAGACAGGCGGGCTCGCCGGGCAGGGGGCGGGACCGGAAGGGGCGGGATCTATCCCAGCTCGGGGCGGGGCCTCCAGGTGGCGGCTCTCCTCCGCTGGGGTGGGGCCGCGGGGTGGAACCCCGGCTGGGGGCAGGCCAGGATGTGGGAGGGAGGAAGCGCCCCTGGGACGCGGGTAGGTCGGCAGCGGCAGTCGCGGTGTTGACAGCTGGGCGGCAGGGCCCGGGGTGGAGCTCCCCGATCCCAGTGCCTGGCTCCGGGAGCGGACTTGGTACCATGGCCAGGGCCGGCATGGAGCGGTGGCGCGGCCGGCTGGCGCTGGTGACAGGCGCCTCGGGGGGCATCGGCGCGGCAGTGGCCCGGGCGCTGGTGCAGCAGGGACTGAAGGTGGTGGGTTGCGCCCGCACCGTCAGCAACATCGAGGTAAGGCCAGGCAGGGAGCCGGAGCCGGGAAGGTGTCGTTTCCTCGGGGTGGGGGAGGGGACAGTGATCGGGCCAGGCCGTGACGCTACCCCTCCTTGCAAGCCACTCCAGAGCCTTACCATTCCTATTTGAGGAGGCTTCTACCCTTCGCTCCTTTTAGTCCTGTCTTTTAAGGAGACTTTTCCTCTTGACAACACTTTATCCGGATAAGTGACTGAATCTCTAACACTCCCCACCACCTGCAATTTTCTCCTCCATCTGCTTGTTCAAGGTGGGGGCTATCCTGGCAGCCAAGGAGAAGGAAAGAAAGCTTTCTGACTGTGTTGGCTACTGGATCTGCTTTCTTTACTTTGCAAACCCTCACCAGTCAAGCCAGGCAAAATGTGTTGGTTAGCCAGATGAGCAGGAACTAGAATTTTGATCATTTTCATGATGACAGAAAACTTACGGTGGGGCAGAGGTGAGAGTGAAGTTCTTCTGAGGAAGCTCGCTGTGACCCCCCAAGTCTTAGGGTTTAAACAGCACCTTCAGGAATAAAAGAGTGGAATATTCACAGGTGACCTTTCTCAGATATCACTCTTCTAGATGGGACTGAATGAGTGAAATGAGGCAGTGAACGCGAGAACCCCAAGGGGGGAAAGCAGTGTGGAAGTGGAACCCCTGGTTTTCTCCTGATGTAGGTTTGAGAGTCCCCATAGTTGTGAACAGCAAGAGCTGGAAGAAAGATGAAACTGAGTTGGTGGAATTGGAGCAGGAAGAAGGAGATGAGAGATATTTCATCATTGATCATTTCACTCTCTGGTTTAGTACTAGTTCTCAAGTGCCAGCCTTTATCTTTACCATCGCTCAAAGTCCTCAGGCAAGGATGAAAAAAAGGCAAGGCTGCCTTGGGTGAGGGCAGAGAGAAGGTGTACAGGAAGGAGGACTGTCCCCTCCCTTGCTGCTGACCAAAGGTATACTTTATAGCTTTCCAGATAATCTCAAGGTCACCTGGCTCTACCTCTACCCCACTTTGCCCCTCCTTCTCCCCTATCCTGAGGCTCTCAGGGTCCAAAGCCAGAGGATCAGGCTAGCGATCGGAGAACCAGCTCTCCTAATTCTAAAGCCTCCTTTACCTTCTCTTCCTACCCACCTATTCCAAATAAGCCAGGAATGGGGGTCCCTAACCCCTAAGAGGATCCCCAAGCTAATCATTCATCCTGAAGATGACTCTGAAATGAGAGGAGAATGCCTCTTCTGTGAGGGAGCTGAAAGGATTTCAAGTCATTTTTGAGGGTCAGTGGGGAGTTGGTCCAGGTAGCATAGGTGTAGGACTATGAGTACATGGTGACAGAGAGACATACGTTCTCAGCCCCTCTATTCTGGTTTTCCAAGGTGGACTTTGAGTCTGGAGGAGGAAGGATGAAGTTGCATATTCCAGACTTCCTGGCCCACAGTCAAGTGATACTTTCATTGATATGAACGCAGTTTGGATTCTGACTTCAGAGAGAGAAGGTCTATTTCCTGAGATTATAGTGAGTTTGTGAGATGAAATTGGGTGAGAGGGACTTTGAACCCTAGAGGATTATACCTTCTGAACTCACAGAATGTTAAAGCAGAAAGGATCTCCTAAATCACTTTATCTAGACCTTTATTCCCAGCTTAATTTGGGAGAAGGAAGAGGCTCCAGGTCAGGCCAGCTGCAGTACCTCGTACTTCCATATGTATGCTGCTACCTGCATAAGACTCAAAGGCCCAGGCGCTGACCTCCAGGAGCGCACATCTTGTTTTCTTCCTGCCTCTGGATGTCAGCTACCCTTATGGCTGTTTCTCTGTAGCTCTACTTTCTCAGGGAGAGAAATCTGTTCTGACTTCAGACCCTTTCTGTAGGTGAAGAAAGGGGAAATTGGTGTGTGTGAGAACTCTGGAGTCAACTGCTGTTATTAGAGTGGTGGTCAGTGACTTTTCATTACTTGTAGAAGATGCAAAATATGCATGGGGTGAGAGGTAAGTTGTACTTACATATTGTGTAAGGCAGAAGAGATGTCCTGTGCCTTTAGGGGAAGAGGCAGAAAAGAGCGATCACTCTATTCCCAGGGTCCCTGGCTCCCTTCTCTGTCTACTCTTGTAAATATAGCATAGTGGTGTCATCAGATCTCCTCATCCAGCTCCACACCACCCCCATCTCCCTCTGTCAAGATGATTCTGATTCATAGCAAACGTCCATGAGATTTTCTAGACTGTAAATCTTTAAGGGAAGAGACTGCCCATCTTTCTCCCTCAGAGCAGCTGTTGACTTTGAACCACTGACCTTTCAGTTGGCAGCACAACACATAACACTGTCACCAGAGGTCCCAAGTTCACATGGGGATGGGAGTAGAGGGAATAATTATCAGCATCTACAGTGTAAAGCTGATTCTTACAAGGCAGAGATCAGACGTACCTCCTTCTCTCCAACGTTTTTATAAGCTCTCTCTCCTATGGCACTCTGCTTTTCTGCTGAGCTTAACCATTCATTACAGTGGCCCCACAGAACTCACAAACTATACTCATAGTGTGGTCTTGCTAATGGTAATAATAGGATCAGGCACAACTCAGGATACAGATCTTTGATCAGGACAGCTTCTTGGCCATGCTCATTGGTCGGCCTGTCTCTGCCCCTTGGCCTTTGAGGCCTCTTAGGCCAGTCCATCCCCTGTCCTGCTGAGGCTAATGTTAGAGCTCTTCCGCTCAACTGATAAGTGCCTGAGGTTCTCTACTCTACCAGTAAGCCTCATCCCAAAGGCTGAGCCCAACAGTACTTACTCTGTGGGTTTGCTTGCCCAGTTCTGCTGGCAGAACAAGTGCAGACAAAGCACTCTACTCCTCCAGGAAGTGTCCTGCTGAGCAGCATACAACTGTTTTCTCTCCCTCTCCCTCTCCGTGTGTGTGTGTGTGTGTGTGTGTGTGTGTGTGTGTGTGTGAATCAACACACCCACTGTAACCACCTTGCTCCCTTGACCAGGAAGCCCACTCAGCAGTCTCCTGCCAGCCTCTTGGTTCTGCTGTAACTTCTCTGCCATTGCTTTTCTCATTCACTGTCTCCATTGTTACAGCTCTTTCTCCCTGTCTCCTGGGTCTAGGAAGTTCTCAGCACAGGTACCTTAAGTCCAAAGGACATACTCTGCTTCATCTCTTCTTGGTGGTAAATAGCCCTGCCCCCCTGCCACCCAGTTCTGATATGTCTTATTTTAAGCCTAGTAGGGAGGAAAATCTGACCAATCCCCATGTTAGGGTTTCATACACCTAATTTGCATGACCCCATCACTACCAGGGTGCCATACATCTTATTTGCATTATTAGCAGGAGATAGAATCCTCTTGGGGCGGGGGGCACAACACTTCATTTGTGTAGCCTCACCTAGTAATTTGATGGGAGTTACAAGACCATGGTGGGAAAGACCATAAGGAGTTGTGTTGCCAAACCAAAAGCACATGATATGAATCCACCAGCTGCACTGCGGGAGAGAGATGGGCAGTCTCCTCTAGTGCAGTTTACAGCCTCTAAACAGCCACTGGAAATCCAGCTATGAATTGGTTCTAGCTTGATGGTAAATAACAACATTGCACCACATTCTCTTTAGAGTGGAAGACTCTTGTTTATTTATGAGACTTCTGAAACCTAACATAGGGAGCTCTGGTGGGGTAGTCTGTAGGGAGCTTGTGCTTTACATTATGCTGCTGCCTTTGGTAATTTGAATCCACCTCTCTGGCAGTTTAAATTGCCAGAACCGTGGTTGTGCAGGAGAAAGGTGAACAATCTTCTCCCATGTGATTGACAACCTTAGAAACCTGCTGGAGGGTCAGCTATGAGTCTGTACTGGCTTGACTGCAGTGAGATTGACTGACAGTGAGTGAGAGTGAATGAAATCCACACTGCCACCTAATTTTTTTTCATTGCCTTCTTCAACTTTTCCTCTTCCCTCACTGATAAAGTGCTTACCTCCTAAACTTTGTTCAAAAAGGTCAAACTTTGGGGTGGACAGTCCCAATATGTGGGTGGTAGAAAAGGTGGCAGAGAGTTCTCCATGGTGGTCAAGGAGGAGGTCTGTCTCTGGGTGGGGAGGGGGAGGAGGGGGAAGCTCACCCCAGTCAGACCCCTCTTGGTTTCCACAGGAGCTGGCTGCTGAATGTAAGAGTGCAGGCTACCCTGGTACTTTGATCCCCTACAAATGTGACCTGTCAAATGAGGAAGACATCCTCTCCATGTTCTCGGCTGTCCGCTCTCAGCACAACGGTGTAGATATCTGCATCAACAATGCCGGCCTGGCCCGTCCTGAACCTCTGCTCTCAGGCAGCACCAGTGGCTGGAAGGAAATGTTCAATGTAAGGATCTAGGCTGGGGAAAGGGGGTTTTGGAAGGAGGGTGGGGTGCCAGAGCTTTGTGAATAGGGCGGGGCGGAGGGTGGGGCGATGGGTCAGCTAGGAAGAGGGAGCATCAGTGCCCTCTGTGGTCCATTTGGGTTTTCACGTTGCCTTTGCATTTTCTTCCATAGTATTGGTAAGTGGATGAATGGTGTGTGGATGAATGGCTTTATCTTTTCCATCCTTTCTTCTGTTGAGCCCTCATGGGTAGTTCTAAAGTCTAGGCTGATTGCCTTTCATTGGATAAAAGATTGGTGGGGGAGAGAATTGTTTATCAAATGTCCCCCGTGCATTCTCACTGAGTTGGGTATTTGGGAACATGGGGCAGAGAGGAAATGGAAGACAAGAAGTAATCCTCTCACTCAGTCCCACAGCTAATGATGTTGTAAGCAGGTGAGTTAGCTGAGTTACCTGCTCTGAACCTTACTCTGGTCACATTTAATTAGGATGAATACATCTGTTATCTGGGGTCAAATAGGTTGTCCAAGTGAGTGAGCCGGGTTAGATGGGGTCTGCAGTGAGTGAAAAGCAGATGGCCATTTGGAGGGGTAGCTACTGCTGTTTAAACCTTCTGTTCCTATAAATGGCAGTGTGGACCCCATGGGGCCAGATACCATGATTCCACTGAGAGAAGTAGGAAGTCTGGGTTTTTATATGAGGGTTAGGATGTTCACTAAATATTTAAATATAACCCTAGAATAGCAGTTTTCTATGAGGACAAGATTTTTATCTGTTTTATATTTTTATATAGCCTCAGCTTGGAAGCACTCAATAGATATTTATTGAATGAATGAAGCATTCTAACTCATGTTGCAGATCAGAATGTTCTAAGATAGTCCACAGGTCAAATATAACCTCAGGACATGAATTTTCCGCTTCAGGAATGTATTATAAGGTGATAGCAGAGTGTGGCAGTATTTGGAGACGTTTAAGTCAGTGTGTGAAAGTTTAAATCAGTGTGAATATGATGCTTCTTTTCGCTCACAATCCCCTGGCTGGTGGCATGAAGTTAAACACTTGGCTGCTGACTGAAAGGTCAGCAGTTCAAAACCACCGGTTCATTGGATAAAGCTGTAGCCATTTTCTTCTATAAAGATTAGAGCCTCGAAAGTCCCATGGGGAGCTGGAGTCCGAGTCCACACAATGGATAACAGTAGCGAGGTGGTTTGCGTTGAAGCGCCGCAGAGATTGTGAGTGTGAAGTGGGGTCGGGCAGAATTTTGTTCTGCTGCACATAGAGTTGTGATGAGTCAGAGCCTACCCAGTGGCACCTAACAACAAGAATATACTTGGGCAGGGAACCGGGGTGACACAGATAGTTTGTAATGTGTTGCTAACCTGAAGGTTCATGATTTAAACCCACCTAGTAGCTCAATGGAAGAAAGTCCTGGCCAACTCCTTCTGCAAAGATTACAGTCCAAAAAATGTCATGGAGTAGTTCTTCTGTCTAACACATGGGGTTGGCTTGAGCTGGCTGACGTCACAACAGCCAGAATAACCACAGCAACCAGTGCTCGGGACTGGAAATGAACAAGTGAATAAGACAGCACTGCCTCTGCCCTCAGAGAGCCTTCTGGAAGACAGATGAGAGACTGTTGTTCACCTAGAGCAAGTGGGTCTCTAAACATGGACCTCAATTTGCCCATCAATAGAATGAGGGGATTATATTCAATCCTTAAAGCTGCTTTCAGCTTGTACATTGTCCGATTCTAGTAGGTCTCCCTCAGGAGGCACCTTCAGTATCCCTACTTCTGACCCCCAGACCGAGGAAGCTCCCTCATATCTGGTCCCGAGGGCTTTGTTTCTCCTCCTCCATTTGCCCCCAGGAGCTGCGTTCTCTTCCTCATAGGCTATGTTGCTAAGAGTCCCAGAAAACCTCCTCTGCTCTTTGAGTGTGCATCTCTCCCTCCTACTGTTAGGAACACTGTGCAGGTTCACACTGAGGGTGTTCTGTGCCCAGTGCCTGGCTCTCTGACACCTGATAAGGAGAAACATCTAATCTCCCAGCTGGTTCCCTCTTCCAAGGGGAGAGAGTGAAGACCTGCTGACAGGTTTATCTCTGCTTGTCCTTGTGGGGCGAAGTGTAGAAGGCAGGCAGGACAGCAGTTTGACCGGAGCACCTTCTTCAGGCTTCTTTTCTAAGAAGCCTGTGGGTCTTGTCCACTTTAGTCTCCAGGGAGGGATGGGAAGGAGAGTGGGTGAGGAAGGTGGGGAAGAAGCTAGAGTCTGTGCTTGAGGAAACACTTGTTTTTTCTATTTTCTCTTTTATATTGGTTTGCTTACAAAGTTTGTATAGATTATGTTTCAAGCTATTCTTCATTTACATTGTTTCATATAATAATCATTCCCATGCATTATGTTTTATAAAATTAATCACCACTGGACCTTGCCCATCATTACTGGCTTTTCAGGTCCCCACCGGATCCGTTCTATTTGTTTCACCCTCTGCCTCCCACCAAATTGTGCAACTCTGTCGTTTCGCCCCTACCCATCCTCAATCTTCTGCTCCTACCCCTTCCCTCATTAGGTCCCCATATATACTTTACTAGTTATCTTTCTATTTTTACATTAATAGTTGTATGCATAATTTGTCCTTATGAGACTGAATTAGTTCACTCAGCATAATGTTCTCCAATCTCTCCCCAGTTATGTGGTATTTTCCAAAATCATTGCTCCTGAGGAAACACTTTTAAAATCTTTTGAGAGGGATTTTAGACAATTTAGGAGAAGAGCCAGGGATGCTGCTCTAAGAAGAAAGAAGGAAAGGTATTTGGGGAAGAAAATGAATACAGAGGTTCTACTACTTGCAGAAGATTGCCAACAAGGGGTTAGGAGTTTTGTTTCTGTTTGCAAGGACATGGGGGTGGGAGGGCATCCAGTATGATGAGCTGCTGTGGTTTTGGGGGAATGGTCACCTAGAGTTGAAACCACAGTGCCAGGCCCCATTGTTGGCCTCTGGAAGAACCAAGACATTCTGCCTCTACCCCCCCCAGGGTGCTCTGTGCCTCCATTACCTGGCCAGGTAGGCTTGAGCTGGAGACATCCCCTTCCCCTCCTTGTCCCACAGGTGAATGTGCTGGCCCTCAGCATCTGCACGCGGGAAGCCTACCAGTCTATGAAGGAGCGGAATGTGGACGACGGGCACATCATTAACATCAACAGGTGGGGGTGCCAGGCTGACAGGTGGAGGGCAGATTCCTCCTTATCCTCCGCTCGGGGCAACCCGAAGCAGCTTCCTTCATCTCTTTGGGACTTTAAGTTCTTTGGTGTTAAATGGGTGTGATGACACAGGTGTGGTGGGGACAAGGATGATGCATATCAAGAGCCAGCACATAGAGGGTGGAATGAGTGGGTGCTCTCCCAGGATTGATCCTCTGCATTCTTCGGGCCCAAGATTGCACCCCTCTTTGTGCTTTTTGACAGCATATGTGGCCAGAGGAGAAGTTCCTGTGGGCTGTGTAGGGAGGAATGCCAGGAAAAGGAGAGCATTCACTATCTACTTGAACAGACACTAGATTAGCAGGCCGTGGAGATGGCCACCTGTCTCCTTTAGAAGGTGTCCCTGTCAGCTCATGGGTGAGAAACTTGACTGGTAGACCTGGGGCCGGTGCCTTGCTCACTTGGGCCCCTTCCTTTCTCTCCCTCCTTCAGCATGTCTGGCCACCGGGTGGTACATGATCCAGTGGTCCATTTCTACAGCGCAACCAAGTACGCAGTTACTGCCCTGACAGAGGGACTGAGGCAAGAGCTACGGGAGGTCCAGAGCCACATTCGAGCCACAGTGAGGGCCCAGCCTAGCCCTGGCCGGGATTGGGTGGGCACAGGACCCTTCCTGCCCCTCCCACACTGCCAAGGATGCCCAAGACCTGGGCATACTGGGAGTGGACTGGGATGGAACTCCCAGGCTCTGCTGCTACTTTGATGGTGCTGGTCAGTACTTATGGCCCCCCATTTGACTGGTCGCGGAGCCAGTGGCCTTTAGGTGTGAGAGGGGTGACTGGAGAAGAACACGGTGGGGTGAGAAGAAGTGAAGGAAAAGGCTTTCAGACTCTGCCGACTGCAAGTGACTCAGCTGATCCTCCAGTGTGTTTTCGGAGGCTGTAAATGGCACAGGAGATTGACCTGGCATGAGTGGTGGATTCGAACTGCCTGCCTTTGGGAAGTCCTCGTTTTGTCCCAGCCTCCCTGAAGGCCTGGCCCCTGGTTGGGGGCAGAGTGAGCAGAGCTCAGTCCTTGAGCAGGCCCTCTCTGTTGGCCCCAGTGTATCTCTCCAGGGATGGTGGAGACACAGTTCGCCTTCAAACTTCATGACAAGGATCCTGGGAAAGCAGCTGCCACATATGAACAAATTAAGGTGGGGCCTCCCTCTGGGTCTAGTGAAGCCACTCCCTAAGACCCCAGTCTTCCAACTCTCACCCGGCTAGCCAGCCTGCCACGCCTCCTGGAGGGTGGGGGTGGCAATGTGGATGCTAGAGAGGACCTGGGGAGGGGCGAAGGGAGAGAGGGAACACAGTGTATTCTGTCCTAACCTTTCCCCCTGATGCTCTCAGTGCCTAAAACCTGAGGATGTGGCTGAGGCTGTCCTCTACGTCCTCAGTGCCCCCCCCCACGTCCAGGTGAGTCATCCAGGTCCTCAGCTATCCCCCACACTGTCTACCCTCTGGAAGAGCCCAACCTTCCTCAAACAAGGGGAGTAAGGAGGTCTTCGGTGGTGGGGGGAGTATGTGGCTGCCTCAAGCCTTATTTATGCCTTCTGCAGATCGGTGACATGCAGATGCGGCCCACGGAGCAGGTGACCTAGTGTCCACTGGGTACATTGTCTCCCTCACCCCACGGCTTTGACTCCTGTCTCTCAGTTTTAGCCATTGATATCTGGACCCCTGGATTCCACTTTCTCCCCAGGGGCTAGAAAGTTTGTTGGAGGTTTTTGTATTATTTTGTCAAATTGTTTCTATTACAAATATGAAATATGGGCTGAGGAGAGAAGATAGTTGTCATACCCATTAACTTGATCTTGGTCCTCTTCTTGAGCTCCATGGCCTTTGTCTATTCTTCTCATTATCATCCCCTTGACCTGGGAAAGAGACTGTGGCCAAAAGGAAGACTTGCCCCAATCTTGTATCCCAACCCTTGCCCCTCTGGGCAGACACAACAGGAAGAAGCCTTAACCTTATACCTGAATGGTTTGCCCGGGGCTCCAGGCTCCCTCCTCTCCATGTTCTTCCTCCCCGCTCCTGGTTGCCAGCTCTTGGCTTGGTTGGGTCGTCTGATTTCACTGTGATAATTAAAAGAAAAATCCTAAGCAACCTACACTGGCTTCAAAGTGTCATTTCATCCTTTCCTAGATCAGAGGTGATTCTATCCCAGAATTTCTTCCAGGTGAGAAGAAGGTGGGTGGGTTTGGGGCATTACTCCTAGAGTGTAAATCACTCATTAGGTAGCATGAATAGGTTTGGGTCGGGTCTTGAAATGGGAATTTGCCAGCTAGAGAGGAAGACAAACTATGTGCAAGTCTGGGAGGCATCGAGGAGCAAGCAGTGTTACGTGCAGCATAGAATTTAGTGAATAATTCTGCTGGGGCTGGAAGGCTAGCTCCTGATTCTATCACTAGGCATCTGAATGTTAAGCAAGGGGAGCTGGCCTTTACCTGTGGTCATGAACATCCAGGGAGTGACAAGAGCAGAGCTGACACGTAAGAAGGGAATCCAAGACCACATGATAGGAAGTAATTTCGGGTCTTGCTAACTGGTGGTGAATTTAACAAGGCAGTGGGAAAAGGCTGAATGCAGGAGAGGATTCTGAGGAAATGTCCAGCACTTACTTGATGGTACCTGTCAGTTAAGCCTTGGAGCAGGGAGCTCTGGTGGCTTGTTGTTGTTAAGTAGCAACCCTATGAATAACAGATCTGAACCCTGCCTTGTTCCGTGCCATCCTCACAATCTGACACACTCAAGCCAATCACTGCCATCACTGTGTCAACCTACCTGGTTGAGGGTCTTCCTCTCTTTTCCAAGAATGATGCCTTTTCCCAAGAAGTAACTTCCAGCAACATGCCCAAAGTATGTAAAGATGAAGCTTCATCATCTTTGCCTCCAAGGAGCACTCTGGCTGCACCTACCCTAAGACATATCTCTTCTGTTGGTAGACCATGAGATCTTAAGCACTCTTCCAACACCACAGCTCAAAGGCATCAAGTCTTCTGTCATCTTTAGTTGCTCAGTTCTCAGATGCAACACAGGTGACTGAAGAGATCATGGCCTGAATCAGGCACATTTTAGTTCTCAAACTGACATCATTATTACTCACTCATTTGGAGAGGTCCCCGACTACAAAGTATGGTGTCTCTTGACCTTCTGACTGCTGGTACCAAGAGTGTTGATTATGGATCCAAGTAAGATGAAGTCATTAGCAACCTCAATACTTTTTCCATCATGATGGTGCATTTCAGTGGTGAGGATTTATGTTTCCTTGATGTTGAGATGTGATCCATATTGAAGGTTGTAGTATTTCACTTTCTGTAGCAAGTTCTTCAAGTCCTCCCTTTCAGCAAGCAAAAATTGTGTCATCTACATAACAAAGGTTATTGATGAGTCTTCCTCCAATCCTGATGCCACATTTTTCTCCATAGTGTCAAGCTTCTCAAATAATTTGCTCAGTATACAGATTGAATAGGTAGGGAGAAAGGATACACCCTGACACACACCTTTACTATTTTAAACAATGCAGTATTCCCTTGATCTGTTTGCCCAACAGCCTCTTGGTCTAGTATAGGTTTTGCACAGCTTACTCATAATTTGTTATGATCCACACAGTTGAACGCTTTTGCATAATAAATAAAACACAAATAGACATTCTGGTATTTTTTGCTTTTAGACAGGATCCATCTGACAGCAACAGTGATATCCCTGGTGCCACAGCCTCTACTAAATCCAGCTTGAACAGCTTGGCAGGTCTATGTACTGTTGTAGCCGTTTTTCAGTGATCCTCAGCAGTATTTTGCTTGCATGTGGCTTAGTAGTAAGGAATTCTGCTGCCATCACAAAAGAATAAGACGGTTCTAATCCACAGCTGCTCGGTGGGAGAAAGATGGACAGTCTCCTTCCATGCTATTTACTGCTTCTGAAAACTCACTGGAGGGTCAGTTAAGGGTCGTACTGACTCCACAGTACGTAAGAAGCTTGGAGCACCACCTCCTGGCCAGTCACGGCGGCCGCGAGATAGACTTGCAGCTCATCCTGCCCTGCAGGAGGCGCTGTGGGGAAGGCTGGCGGCCGGGCATGCTCTGTGCGTCCCAGGGCAAGGGGCGGGGCCACGCAGATCCGGAAATGGGGCTGCCCACGTGGGTGCTGGAAAGTTAGCTGTCGGCTCCCGGCTGCTCTGGTTTGCGTAGTCTTTAAGCGGGTGTTGCCGTTGTTTTGGAGGAGGTTTTGCCGGGGCGCCCTTCGTCCTCTTGTCAGGTGGCCTGGAAGCGGGCCGCAGCGGTGACTGCGCTCGAGGACGCAGCACGGGACCTCGGGGCCCCAGCGCCACCCACACTATGAGGTCGTTCTCGTTTGTCAGGACCATGTCCTACTGTTGCTCTGGTCGCCTCCTCGCCCGTCCTTACTCCCTGGTGTCACAGTCCTCCGGGCGTCCGGAGCGTCCCGGCGGAGAGGAGCTAAGCCGCCTGCTGCTTGATGACCTGGCGCCAGGCCGGCGCTCTGCTGGGGGACTGGAAGTCCTGTTTGGCCTGAATCCGTGTCTCCTAGCCCTGAGGGCAGCCCGTCGGCATGTGTCCCGGCTGCTGCTTCAGGCCGGCAAGGAGGGGCTGCAGGGGGAGCGGATCGAGCTGCTCCAGGCGGCCGAGGCACGGGGCATCCCAGTTTTGCGGCCCCGACGGCGAAAACTGGATGCCTTGTGCCCCCACCAGGTCCACCAGGGCGTGTGCATGGAGGTGAGCCCGTTGCGCCCCCGGCCCTGGACCGAGGCTGGGGAGACCAGGCCAAGCGACGACCCTCAGCAGCTGTGGCTCGTCCTCGAAGGACTTCAGGATCCCCGGAATCTTGGGGCTGTGCTCCGCTCTGCCCACTTCCTCGGTGTGGATAAGGTCATCACCAGCCGGAGAAACACGTACGAACATCCCTTATTTCCCATGTGTCCCAGTTAGAGGTGCATCCGAATTCCAGAGCACCATGGCTCCTCGGTGATCTCAGCTAGGTCTTCCCATCGCCTCACTCCTAATTCGCGGGGGTTAAGGGAGGACTCTAAGCTCGGAATTCCCTGTCTGATGTTGTCGATGGGAAAACTTTGCAGCTGCCCGCTCACCCCAGTAGTCAGCAAGGCCAGCGCAGGGGCTGTTGAGGTGATGGATGTGTTCTTCACTGATGACCTGACTGGCTTTTTACAGGTAAAGAGCCCAGCCCTGCCTCTCCAAGGCACCCACCCTGCAGCTGCTCGCAGTGGGAGACGGGAATCCAAAAATCTAAATCCACTTGGGAAGAGCATAATCCCAAAAGAAGTAGTATCTGCAATTGGGAACTCCCTAGCTTCATTCTTTTTTCTGTAAGGGAGCTCTGATGCCCTAGTGGATAAGAAACTGTGTTTCCAGTCCAAAGACGGTGGTTCAAATCCGCTAGCTACTTTGTTGGAAGTCTCTGATGCAATTTACAGTCCCTGAAACACTTTAGAGTGTCAGCTATGAGGAGGTTCCAACTCAGCTGGCAATGAATGAGTGGACGAAGAGAGTCTTGGATTTCTTGAGCAGGAGTTCAGCTTGAAAGCCTCCTAGACAAGGAATCTTCTATGCCGGCAGTCACTCCACTCCCCTCCACAAAAGTATCCAAGTGTTTGAAACCTAGTAAAGAATAACTTAAGGCAAGCGCATCATTGTATCTTTAGTAGAGCTTTGCTTACTGGTCACAAGGGGGCAGTATTGCCCTGGGTTTAGCAGCTCCGGCCGTCCCACCCCGGTGGAGAGCGGGAGACCCGACCAATTCAGAGCTCCCTCAAGTGAGGCCTTTCCTGACCATCTTCCTTGAGACTATGTTGGCCTCTCTTGTTCACTGCCCCATCTTCAGTGCCTAGAACAGGACCTGACCTGTTCTCGGTGTGTAGTAACCATCAACTGACTAGAACGGATTAATGAGCAAGTGAATATATGAGCAAAGCTTGGCTCCCTATGCCTGGAGGTTTGTTTGGTGAATTAGAACATGGCTGCTTCTCCTTGCTTGCAGGCCAAAGCCCGCCAGGGCTGGCTTGTGGCTGGCACAGTGGGGTGCCCAGGGCCTGAGATCCCCCAGTCCTCAGAGATCCCTGTCACAAGCTGCTTGGAGTTCCTATGGGACCGGCCGACTCTCCTGGTGCTGGGTAGGTAGAAGTTCCAGCTTCTCTGTACCAAGCTGTACATTGGAGCCCCTAGATGTCCATCTAGGGAGGTCCCTAACTTCCTGTCTCCTTGCTCTGCAGGGAACGAGGGTTCAGGCCTGTCCCAGGAGGTGCAGGCCTCTTGCCAGCTCCTCCTAACTATCCTGCCCCAGCGGCAGCTATCTCCTGGACTTGAATCCTTAAATGTCTCTGTGGCGGCAGGTGAATCTATTTCTCCTTACTCATACAGCGCGTGTGTGTGTGTGTGTGTGTGTGTGTGTGTGTGTGTGTGTGTGTAAGCCTATTTGTTTTATCCTAAACACTATAATTAGAGTAGGGAGCCCTAATGGCCTAGTGGTAAGGAGCAGTACTGCCAGTCCAAAGATATGTGGTTTGAATCCACCAGCTGCTCTGCAGAAAAAAGATGGGCAGTCTCCTGTGTGATTTACTTCCTCTGAAAACCTGCTGGACAGTCAGCTATTTGTTCCAGTTTGACAGTATATAACTTCTTTGCTTTATGTGCAAAATGGGGCAAATGATACTTGAGATTATGGGGAAGAAATGAGGGTGTGCCTGGAAGGAGGTCCTTCCTCTTTTTCCTCCCTCTCCTCTTTCTGTCTGTGCAGGTATCCTCCTTCATTCCATCAGCAGCCAGAGGAGGAGTTTTTCTGCAGGGGGAGAAAGAGAACAATTTCCCCAAGAACCCCTAGAGTCCTCAGCCAATATCAGAGGGTCCAGAGCAGCTCCGCACCCAGGACTATCTTCGGGATCAGAAAAAGAGAGGAGAAATGAGGGTTAATTTGGACTCTCTGAGGTGTGTGTGCTGGAGGGTAGTGGGTGGGTACACAGATGATCCCACGTGCCCAGCATGTGGTCAAGGTCCCTATTGATCACTGCCTGGGGGGCCTTTACAGTGGAGACCAGAAGTCACTCTCCTGTTTTGATGTTGACTGTGCAGTTGGAGATGAAGTTTATCAGTGTCTAGCATGGGCTAGGACAGAGGGTGTCTGTCCTCCCTGAATCTTCCTGGAAGCTGAAGGAATGTAGAGCTATTGGGTATGGGGGGGGAGGTCAGTGGGCAATCCAGTCCCGAAGGCTAACTCCTTTCTAACCAGTTGTCAGTGACTGTCACAGGTGGGTGTGAGGATATACAAGGAAGTTGCTTTCTCCCATGGAGCAGACAGACCTGAGTGTGGATCCAGCTTCTGACACTGATGCATTGTGGGACCTCAAGCACACAGCTTCATCTTGGGCTTGTGACAGGGTTGTGAAGATCGAATAAAACATCACCGGGTAGACGCAACAGATGTGGCATTCTGTGTAGTTCCTCCACTAGGTGGCAGCCTCACTCTTTGGTCCGCAGCCCCTTCGGGAAATTTTCAGAGGCACTTGGGGAGGCTGCTGTCTATGACCTCAGGAGAGGGGAGGCAAAGAGTAACAGACCCCTTCACCCGACACTGGCCCTTGAGTGTTCTCACCCTTGCTTGTCAGTCCATCCATCTCAGTCGAAGGAACTGGCGAACCAGAACCCTCACCTTTGATTCTGTGAGGTGGAGGTTCAGGACTGATGCTTATCGTACAATCCAGACGGATTTGACATTTTTCCCCAGAGGCTAAGCCAAGGCCAGCAGTGTGAGTTTAAAGTAGTGGTTCTCAACTGTGGCTGTTCATTGAAGTCACCTTATAGTCTTGGAGAAACCAAGAAAACAGTAACAAAAAATGTCACCTGATGCCAGGGTATTGGCCTGGGTGTGATCTGGGCATCAGGATGTTTAAAAACATCTTTAGAAAAAAAAAAAAACAACACACATCTTTAGAAGGGAGTTCTGATATGTAGACAAGACCAGCAACCTCCATAGCGAGTGTTCTGACCTTCAGCACTATTGGCATTTGAGCCACAAATTTTTTTTCCTTCTACTTGTCAGGATTTTATTTTATCTTTTTCTTTACTTTAAAAAAAAAAAAAAATTGAGGGAGCTCTGCTGGCCTAGTTGGGGATGGGGTGGGGTGGGGAGTTTCACTGTCAAACCCAGACTGTTAGTTTTAATCCACGAGCGCCCCCTGCAGGAGAAAGATGGGTAATCTGCAATTTATAGTCTCTAAAATTCCACTTGAGGCTCAACTGAGTGGGTTCCAAGTTGACACCAAGAGGATGTCTTTTTTTCATTCTCTTTTTAAATTTAAAGATTATCTTGATATATCACTTGGAACTGGCCCATAGTTGACCCTCCAGTGGGTTTTCATAGGAGATTGCCCATCCTTCTTCAAGTACCCCCAATGATTTCTCCTTTATTAACAGTCATACTACAACTTAGATCCCTGCCAGTGCCAGTCTGTGTGTATGATAGTCTGAAAGCCTCCTCCATTTCAGTGGAAGGTTGGGTATGTGCTTCTTGTCGGATGCTTGCTGGTATCTGCGTAAGTTTCTAGGCCTGGACATTTGGGCCACCTAACAGATGTACCTCCACAAGGGTGCAGAGACCACCCTGCCACCACCGTGCACCATCTCCACCACCAGTTTGCACTTTCAGTAATTGAGCATGGTGTCCATGGAGACAGTTTGCTTTTCATGAGGAGAGTTTGTTTCACAGTCAGGGACAGGGTCAAGGGCATTTGACAGGAATGACCATGAAGAGCACAGGGAGCTGGAGTCCTGTACCACCTATGTCTCAGTACCACCTATGTCTCAGACAGCTGCTCTGCTGGGGACCACTGGAGCTAGTGGACAGGAAGGAGATCCAGATGAGCTTCAAGCTCATCCAGGGAAACTGTGCTTGCCCATAAGTGTAAGCTCTGTGCATTGCAGGATGTCTAGCAGCCCCAGGCCTGGACTCAGCCAGTGTCAATAGCACTTCTTCCTCACTTTTTAACGACCCAAAAGGACTCCAGACATTGCCAGATGTCTTTGGTTGAAAACCACTGCTGTGGAGCAGTCCTAAGTACAAACCCGAGAGGCTCTGTGACCCTGGGCAAGTTCCTGACCCATCTGAGTGAGCCTCAGTCCCCTCTTTGAAATGGGGGTGATCTAGCTTCTTGGGTTGCTTTGAGGTTAAAGAGGGGAATAGCAACTTAGTGCCCTCCACATGGTCTTCTGAGGGAGAAGACCTGAACATCCGTTCAGACAAGATTTCAGCCTAGAAACCCCCACAGGGCTGCTATGAGTCAGACATCAGCTCAGCAACATCCAGCAGCAGTGAGATTGCTTCAAAGTCAGGGAGGTTGAAGAAATACTTTAAATTAAATTCCGGCATGGACCCTATGAACTGGCCCCCTGGCTGCCCCCAGGATCTGACCACAATTGAGTCAGCTGGCCCTGGCTGCAGCACGCTGCTCCCCCAATCCCGTGATCTCCAGGGCAGGAGCCCAGTGCGGAGGTTTTTCACCTTAACTGCACTTGAGCATGAGTAGGAAGTGACCCTCAGGCACCCACACCTGTTAACTGAGAGTCTCGGGGGCCAGATAGTTCATAAAGCCCTTTATTGCTTCCTGTGTGCAGCCAGCTTATAGAGTTGCTGACCTCACCCGTCCACTCATGTCCAAGAAACAGCTTCCAGATACACACCTTTGCCTGTAAGTGTGGGCTTTTCATCTGTTCCCAAGATTCTTTAAAACATGCTGGTTCCAGCCCTAGCGTCAGGATTTCTCAGCTGGATTCAGCCTCAATCTCAGTCTTCCCATCTGTAAGATGGAGATGATGCCATTAAAACCTGCTGTACTTCCCTGCTCCTCAAACAAGGGTGTTGGAAAAAATCAAAGACTATCAGTAACTTTGAGACTGTGTGAAGAAGAATGTGGCATCAGCTTAGGAGGAGGAAGACTCACATGGATGATACAACCTTGCTCCCTAAAAGTGAGAACTTGAAATATTTGCTTCAGAACATCAAAGACTACAATCTTTTAATATAGATGTGTGTCAACATCAAGAAAATAATCCTCACCACTGGACAAATAGGCCAAATTATGATAGGTGAGGAAAAGATTGAAGTTGTCAATGATTTCATTTTACCTGGATCCATACCACAATTAACACCCATTGTAATAAGAAGAAATTTAAAAAAAAAAGATATGTTGCATTGGGAAAATCTGCTGTCAAGGACCTCCCAAAGTGATAAAGAGCAAGGATGCCAGTTTAAAGACTAAGGTGTGCCTGACTCAAGCCATAGTCTTTTCAGTTACTTCCTATGCATCTGAAAGTTAGACAATGAATAAGGAAGGATGACAGAAAAATTATTGATGCTTTTGAACTGTGATGTTGGAGAAGAGTATTGAATATCCCATAGACTTTCAAAATTACATGTCTGAGTGCTCCTGTGAGAATGGTAAACTCATCTCACATACTTAACAGAGAAAGCAAGGAAGACCCTCTACAAGATAAACTGACACAGTGACTCCAACAGGGGCTCAAACAACAGATAGTGAGGACAGTGCAAGATAGGGTAAGGTTCAGATCTGGTTTGTTGTGAGTTGTTGACTCAATGACACTTCACAACCATATGATACAATACTTGTCCTCTGCGTCTTGCCCCCACCCCACCCCCGCCCCTGATTAATAGCCAATAACATGATCCTTTATGAAAACAAATGCTGCTGTTCCCTCCACATGGGTTGGGTCTGTGTAGGATCAAGCCCATATTGTATCTAGAAGTCGATATAAGGGGGTACTTGAGGCCTAGTTTTATTTCATGGTGCCTGGAAGCCTACCTAGGCAACCTGTTCTATCATGTGGTTTAACTGGTGGATCCCAATGGCCCAAGCCATCAGGTGGAGTGTCACTCTCCTGGACTTGCACCAGGCACAAGGTCTCATCCTTCGAGGCTCCTCCCTCCTTCACACAGCAGGCAGCTGGCTGGCTTCTGGGAAAACAAGGCTCTTAAACCAAAGGGAATCAGGTGTTAAAACTACCATACACACACACATACACACTTTGCTATGTTACACAAACCAGACATTCTCTGCACAGAAATGGACTGACGTGTTAAGGACAAGGATGAGGACCATCTCCTTGAGTGGCCTGTGACATCCATCGAGGACCGTGCATGATGCAGGCAGTAACTGTTGAATACACAGGAACAATGTGGCTGTGGCCGTGAGTGAAAAGGGGTGGGACAGGTCTGGGATGAAGCCAGAGGAGAAAGAAAGAACATATGGATAAGCTCCTCCCCTGTCCAGCCTCCTGGACCAAAGGGAAGGATTTGCTTGCACTTGTAAGTCTCAGAGCATCTGAACTGAGGAACCAGCGACCCCTCCTAGACCCTCCTCCAGGACCGAGGTAGGACTCTGGCTGGCGGTTAAATTAGCCTCTGCATAGGCTGGGCTGAGGTCCTAAACTAGGATTCTCCCCACTCCCCAGACTCCCCCTCCCTAGCCTTCTCTTCCCCTTCTCCCAGACCAGGCACCTGGGAGCCCCACAGTTTGTAAATGTAATCAACCTTGAGGTCTCTCACTTCCACAGGTGCAATTAGCATGCCCATCTGCTAATCCCTGATTAATGGTGTTTACAAACATAGGACTCACTGGCTTAGCCCCTCCCTCCAGGGCTGGGAGGCAAGGGTCTTCCTAGGACCCCTCTTAAGTCTCCCTGGGCCGAGCCCCTCTCCATCTTCCTACTCAGGCAGTGCATCTCCTTAGAGGCCCTGGCTCTGTGCACATGAGGAAATCAGATTCAGAACAGACAGAAACCACCAGGCTTTGTGGGTATGAGAGTCTGCTCTTCCTTCTTTTTTCTCAATTCTAGAACTTTTCAGGCCAGTGGTGGGCGTAGCGCCCTATTCACCACACCAGCCTAGGGGTCACATACTG